CTTAAATCATTTACATAAGTACACTGACACAATTCAGTCGTTGGTACTCAACGGTTTAATTTATCATATTCACATGGATTAAGTCATCATACTCATAATAATTAAGTTGTATATCTGGTAACAAAATGATTTACACCTCTATGCATTTCTATATTAGCAGTGTGTGTGTGTGTGTGTGTTTGTGGATGATATTGACACGCCCCTTACCTGTATTAAACACACCACATGTAATTAGACAAAGTGTACTGCCTGTGTTTTGTTCAGGGAATCATGTGGGTGCAGGTGTTGTCAGGGTGTGTGTAGGGGTGCAGGTGTTATGTTAGGGTTGCTGTGTGGTGTCAGGGTGGTGTTGTCAGGGTAATTGGTGTCATGTCAGGTAAGTGTCATGTTAGGGTTTGTGATGGCCATGCTGTTCTTACACACACACACACTGCTGTACCTGAAGTGTTTGTGATATGATGGTGAGGTTGGGAGGCTGTTTTGCTAGTTCTCGTCACAACACCGACCAGAGTGTGGTGGTGAAGTGTTTGGGCGGGAGATCACTGGACACTCTCTCCTCTGTGTCCTGTTCCACAGCAAATCGGGGACCACCTGCTGAAACATAACAGCAATAATAATTTTTGGTGGTGTTGTTTTTCCTAGGTTTTGCACACACACACACACACACACACACACACACACACACACACACACACACACACACACGACAGCAAAAACACACACACGCTACTACTACTATGTTTTTGTACAATGTGGCCTCCAGCCTCCCCTATAGCCTAATTTCGTAGCATTTTTTCCTTCAATTAAACATCCTATTACATGAGTAGCTACCCGAGCTTTGTTGAGTTATTTAAGTCGTAGATCTATACGGCATTCAGTGACTGTTGCCTCATAGTTAGTATCTGCGATCGTTGTCGCTTTTGGGGCGAAGATCTCGTTCCTGTGGCAAAACAATGCAGACCTAAGTGATATAGAAGACAGTCGACACCTCAGCCAGGCTGTAAATATTGGGATGCGGTTTGTTCGGATAACACCTGGCCAGTCTTGCGTAGAAACATCTAGCACTTGGTCCCATCCCACCAGAGGTTGTGAACACTAGAGGGTGAAGCTGCCTTGATCTAGGCGTTGTCTCCTGTGTGCATCTAGAGGGTTACGGTGACATGCGGCCTGAGGTCGGTTCTTTTCAAATGGGTTAGCTGTTTCCGTGTCCAAAATCCGGCACTGGCGTCTGTAGGGCTTCGTTGGATGTGTTTGAAGTCCTGTGGAAATTCTCACCATCAATTGGAAGGAAGGTTGGTTTGGCTTGACATTATGGCAAATTTTCTTAAACATGTTTGTGAGATCCCTTACTTGCCATCCTCATGCTTATGGAGCCCCTTTCTTACCATGGTGGGCGATGTAGTGGGATGAGCCACACACGCATTGGGAGGGCAATCCTTCTACTGGACAAACATGCTAGGAACAATGGCATGAGTAAATTTGTTTATTAGGCTGAAACCATACCTTTTGCCTTTATCGGTAGTGTTGTTAGCCAGTTAGAGGCGCCACCTCCTGAGTTATGGCTTCTTTTTTTTTCAAATTCACTGACAATTGCAACAACGTTTGTTGAAGTTTATCACTTTGGGTATGCGCGTGTCTGTCGTAATGATAGGTCGGATCTTGTTTTAATTTGGTTGGTATGCTTCACTTGTTGCATTTTAGCAATTGGAGGCTCATTGAGGTTGCCATGAGTTTGACAGAGTCAGATGTTCGGTGGCAGAAAGCTCTTGGATTATTGGGGTCCCATTCCTCCCAGTCTCGGGTGGTAGTGCAAGGTGGACCTTTCTGCTGTGGGTTAAATAAGGTTTTTCCGCTAATGATGGATAGCGACTTTGATGGCTTTTACCAGAGGGTGGTGGAGGGTCCGATATCGGGATTGTGTGCATCGGATAGTTTGAGATGCTTGGCTCACGGGTAAGTGCGCAAAAGCTTCATGGGTTTGTTTTTAGAAATCTCAGACAGGGCTGAGTTTCTTTCACCACTCTTTACCTTCCTGTTACTTTTGGTTTTGAAATAGTTTGTACCTGTTACACCTAGATGTGTTGGTCGTAATTTGTTATTTTGTGGCTTCCGCCGAACACCTTATAGCCCCGTATGGCATTCAAATTCATAATGAGGAAGGACTTGCTGGCGTTTGGGTGGTACCTATTTTTTGGACCACGTGGTGTTGTTCAGGTCCACCACCTTTTGTGTCCTACTTTTTGCCTGTTGTAAGGTCGCTTCATGCGCCACTTGTTTGCCTGTGGTTGTTTCATGGTTTATGTGTTAGAGCGGATAGACCTATCTCATGTATTAACATGGCGACCGGATCCCCTGATAGTTTCCTCGTTGACTATATGGTGCATTCTCTTTGGCCTTGAAGCTGTTATATAGAGGTCTCATGGGTTCCTGTAGGTGTTTTCAACATACAATGCAAAGTTTTGACAATTGATGTTGTGCAGTGCGGCCTTGCGGTTGTGTGTAGCTTTGAGGTTGATTATGTTGAATGCGTTAAGGTGTCAACCAGGGTGCTGCCTCGTGGAAATCACGCTGCTCAATTATTTTTATGGAGTGAATGGTAGCTTCACCCAGCCTGGTGGCTGGCTAGTACAGTGCTTGCAGGTTCCTGCAGCTGCTGTTTCAGTGGGTATGTAGTAGGCAGCTAATAAACGGGGAGGTACTACCGCCTGGGGATGACATTGGAAGCATAGCGTATTGTCTAATGGTAGACCTGCTGCCACATGGTATCAAAATATTGTGACTTAGTTCAGGTTGATGATCTGACTTTCTTTTCATTTACACAGGTTGTGTGGTCTCAATTGTTTCTCTTTTTTGACAACACAACATACATATTTGTTTTCACTATTGATTTTTTTGTGGTTCTTTTTTATTATTATTATTTTTTATATTATACAGTATTATATTTTTTATTTAATATTTAAAAAATATATAATTATAATATTTATTTTATTATTATTATTATTATTAATTATTAATTATTATTAATTATTATATTAATTATTATTATTATATTTTCGCTCCAGTCCTGGCGTGATCCTTGACTCCTCTGGTGGGCTAGTCGTTAAAAAAAAAAAATTACTAATTCTTTTGTATTTTCAAAGATCCGTCTCAGACTTCCCCATCCCTATAGGTCTACATCCTGATTTTTGTTCAGGGGAATGGGGCGGCAGGCCGTCAGAGCATGGGGTGGTGGCAGCATGAGGTTGTTAGCTTTCTTGCAAGGGCGGAGGTGGCCTTGCAGAATCACGGAGTGTCGCCAAACTTGTTAGTGCGAGGATGCTTTCAGCCCGTCTGCAGCCAGACCTGAAGGCCGTACTTCCTTGTGTCTTCGGTGCTTTTTCCACACCATCTCCTGTTATTTTCGAACAGGACAGCGTTTGAGGGACATAGTCACCCGGAACCTGATGCCTCTTCATTTGCAGGGGATTGTTTTTCTCAGTTGTTGTAAGGTTTCTTGTTTATCGGCAGCACTACCGGAGGATTCTTGTGTGAGAGATCTTACAGCCCAGGACACTTCTCACGCATCTTGTTACAAACCTTCTGGCAGCATCCTCTGTAACTTGTTTTTCGTCTCCTGTAAATTTTAGTCTGCTGCATTGTTCTTGCCTCACTTAGGAGATAGTCCAGTGTCTCGTTCTACATCGTCTGTCTGCTCTTCTCAGCTAAATCTTCCTGTACTTATTCCTTGCGTGTGTTCTCTAGCAAAATAGATGACGTATTATTGAAAGTATGTGGAGAGCAATTGGACCCAAGGGCTGTCATGAGTGTAATAGTGTACGAGGCGAGTCATCTACTACTACTTTGTGTCACTCAGAATCGAGTATGACGATCATTCAGCTGCGATACAATGATATGAGTTATTTGGGATGTCACCCTAGGTTGGTGAGCTCTGAGGTGACTCGAGAGGCCGGCACCCGTCCACAGATGTTGCTCGTGTGGAGGGCTACAGGTGGTGCAGAGTTCAATGAAGGGTTCAAGGTACTCACGGAGGTTCAAAAGGATCAAGGTAAAAGTGCACATGGGTCAGCGAGGAAGTATCGTAGTCGCCGGTTGTAGTGAACTGCGTCATCGTCGGCTCCCTCCACCGACACCAGCAGGGCCCCACCTTAGATCCGACCAGCACACCTCCACACACTCGTGAACACTGTCCTGCTGACTCACGTACTGTCCTCCTACCTCAAGTACTGTCCTCCTCAATTACTGTCCTCCTACCTCAAGTACTGTCCTCCTAACTCAGTACTGTCCTCCTAACTCAAGTACTGTCCTCCCTAACTCGTACTGTCCTACTGACTCACGTACAACCTCCTAACTCAAGTACTGTTCCTCCTATCTCAAAGTACTGTCCTACTGATTTATACTGACCTACTACCTCAAGTACTGTCCTCCTCTACATCCAAGTACTGTCCTACTGATTTACATATGACCTACTACCTCAAGTACTGTCCTCCTACCTCAAGTACTGTCCTACTGATTTATACTGACCTACTACCTCAAGTACTGTCCTCCTACCTCAAGTACTGTCCTACTGATTTACATACTGACCTACTACCTCAAATACTGTCCCTACCTCAGTACTGTCTCTGAGTTTACATACTGACCTACTACCTCAAGTACTGTCCTCCTCTTCCAGTACTCCTACTGATTTATACTGACCCAACTACCTCAAGTACTGTCCTCCTACCTCAAGTACTGTCCTACTGATTTATACTGACCTACTACCTCAAGTACTGTCCTCCTACCTCAAGTACTGCCCCTACAACCTCAAGTACTGTCCCTACTACCTCAAGTACTGTCCTCCTACCTCAAGTACTGCCCTACAACCTCAAGCCAATCCTCCTACCTCAAGTACTGTCCTCCTACCTCAAGTACTGTCCTCCTACCTCAAGTACTGTCCTACAACCCACACCTACCTGTACGACCTACACCTACCTGTACGACCTACACCTACCTGTACGACCTACCTGTAGTGTTGTAGAGACAGCCTGGGGTCGTACTGGTTATAATGGGTGACAAAGATGGTCAGTTCGGTGTTATTAGCGTTACCAGACATCATAGCCACCACGATCACCCTGTACTGCTCCCCGACCAACCGCTCAAGGTACCTGCGGGTGATGTACCGTCTATGAGAGAGACAGACAGACAGACAGAGAGAGAGAGAGACAAACAGAGACACAGGAGATAGAGAGACAGATAGAGTGACAGAGATAGAAAGCGAGAGATAGAGAGACAGAGAGACAGAGAGACAGACGGAGAGACAGGAAAGCGAAGAGAGACAGACAGACAGAGACAAGACGTAAGACAGAGGAGATAGAGACAGATGAGATAGAGATGAAGACAGAGAAACAGAGAGACACAGAGACAGAGAAGCAGACAGAGAGACAGACAGACAGAGAGAGACAGAGATAAACAGAGACAGAGAGACAGACAGGGACACAGATATAGAGAGACAGAGATGAGATGAGACAGAGACAGAGAAGACCAGAGATAAACAAGACAGAGAGAGACAGGGACACAGATATAGGTGACAGAGATGAAAGAGAGATAGAGACAGAGAAGCAGACAGAGAGACAGAGATAAACAGAGACAGAGAGACAGACAGGGACACAGATATAGAGAGACAGAGAGAGAGACAGGCAGAGAGACAGAGACAGACGAAGAGACAGAGAGACAAAGACAGACAGACAGAGGGAGAGACAGACGGAGAGACAGAGATAGAGACAGAGACAGTGAGACAGAGACAGAGAGAGACAGGTGAAGAATCAGAGACAGAGACACAGAGACAGAGGTGTGGTGAGAGAGAGAGACAGAGATAGAAACCAGAGACAGAGACAAAGACAGACGGACAGAGGAGAGACAGACGGAGAGACAGAGATGAAGACAGAGACAGAGACAGTGAGACAGAGACAGAGGAGAGAGAGAGATTGAGACAGAGACAGAGACACAGACAGAGACAGTGAGGACAGAGACAGAGAGAGAGACAGTTGAGACAGAGACAGTGAGACACAGAGACAGAGACAGAGCAGATTGGAGACAGTGGTGTGGCACAACAGTAGTACAACAGTGGTGCAGTACAACAGTATTACATCAGTAGAGTAGTATAACAGTAGCTGGTAGTACAACAGTAGTATAGTACAACAATAGTGCAGTTCAACAGTGGTACAACATGTAGTGCAGTTCAACAGTAGTACAACAGTAGTGTGAGTACAACAGTAGTACAACAGTAGTGTAGTATAACAGTAGTACAACAGTAGTGTGAGTACAACAGTGGTACAACAGTAGTGCAGTTACAGCAGTAGTACAACAGTGATTGCTATTAGTGTGCAACAGTGTTTCACCAGTAGTATAGTACAACAGTAGTGTAGTACAACAGTAGTACAACAGTAGTATAATTACAACAATAGTGCAGTACAACAGTGGTACAACAGTAGTGTAGTACAACGTGAGTACAACAGTAGTGTAGTACAACAGTGAATTTTAATAGTGTGATGTACAACAGTGGTTACAACAGTGGTGTAGTGCAACAGTAGTACAGTGGTCAATGCAACAGTGGTTCAACAGTAGTGCGGTGCAACAGTGGTACAACAGTAGTGCGGTGCAACAGTATTACGGCAGTAGTGTAGTACAACGGTAGTACCAATGATGGTGTAATTGCAACAGTGGTACAACAGTGGTGTGAGTACAACAGTAAGTACAACAGTGAATTAACATTTGGAGTGTAGTACAATGATGTTCACCAGTAATTATAGTACAACAGTGGTACAACAGTAGTGCAGTACAACAGTAGTACAACAGTAGTGTAGTACAACAGTAATCCTGTGTTAGTGTAGTACAACAGTAATTAACAGTAATTAATGTACAACAGTGGTACAACAGTAGTGTGGTACAACAGTAGTACAACAGTGGTGCTGTTGTAGTTATGGTACTGACAGTTATTTCACCGGTAGTATAGTACAACGATGGTACAACAGTAATTGCAGTACAACAGTAGTACAACAGTAGTGTGTAATTACCTGACAGTGAGTACAACATTAATTAATAGTACAACAGTGAGTACAACAGTGGTGTAGTACAACAGTAATTTACAACAGTAATTAACCAGTACAACAGTAGTATTACAACAGTAGTGCTGTTGTAATTATTAGTACACACTAGTGTACAACGTGAAATAGTACAACAGTAGTACAACGGTAGTGTAGTACAACAGTAGTACAACAGTAATTAATAGTACAACATGTAGTACAACAATGAGTGTAGTACAACAGTAATTACAACAGTAGTGCTGAGCCTTGTTGTGGTACAACAGTGTTCTTGATAGTTATAGTACAACAGTGATTAGTAGTACAGCAATTATTTCCAGTAGTATAATTACAACAGTGGTACAACAGTAGTGCAGTACAACAGTAGTACAACAGTAGTGCTGTTGTAGTGTGAATGCTAACAATATTTCACCAGTAGTATAGTACAACAGTAGTACAACAGTAGTGCAGTACAACAGTAGTACAACAGTAGTGTAGTACAACAGTAGTGCAATACAACAGTAATTACAACAGTAGTACATGTACTCACTAACCTGGCAGTGGTAATGTTGCCACCGTACTCGTCTATAGTGAAGTATTTGTAGTCAGTAACCGGTGACTCGTAGAGGGAGTAGCGGACTGTCTGTTGGTCGTTGTTGTGGTGGTCATCAACCGCCCTCACTCTGGTCACCGCCACACCGAGGGCTCCGGCGTACACCCGCGGCGGCCGAGGTGGTACTTGGAGATGGAGTGTGCCTGGAGGAATAGTTAACTTGCTAATTACTGGAGTATTGCCACATGACTGGAGGGCAGGTAGGGCTTGTGTGAGGACAGGTGGTTGGTGAGGGCTAGTGAGGACAGGTGAGGGTTGGTGAGGGCTAGTGAGGACAGGTGGGGCAGTTGAGGGCAGTTGAAGGCTGGTGAGGGCTGGTGAGGGCTGGTGAGGGCAGGTGGAGGAGCAGGGGTAGAGTTACCTGTACCTGTACTATATACCTGTACCTGTACTATATACCTGTTACCTGTGCTAATTAGCCATATATTTCGTCTGACTGTTGTAGAGTCTACTCAATATTACCTGGATAAACATCAGATAACGAATCGACGTTAATAAACATTAATCTAATCGTATTATTATATCAAAAAACATTAGATTGACGCCCTGACACCGCCAGCACCTCACCCATATAATGTAGTCACCCCAGTAACCTGACTCTAAGCGATGCCGTTTTTTATGGTGGTTGAGGAACAGATGGCCGCCAACACTAACAATAAAATAAATTATATTTCTCGGTTTGGACTGTCTGTAGAAGCGCTCTTATGAAACTCACTTGACACCAGTTGCAGGTCTTTGTGACTGTCAGCGTGACACCCAGTTAACGACACAAAAAACATTTTATGACAGCTTCATCATAATGCGTCTGAATGGAGGTAAACAATGACTCATAAGCACCACACAAGATGGATTCAAAGGTTGCCAAGTTAAATTTTTCCTCTAACTGGTGATGTGAGAACGTATCTAACTGACTCATAAGCTACCACACAAAGATGGATTCTCTAAGGTTGCCAAGTTAAATTTTCCTCTAACTGGTGATGTGAGAACGTATCTAACTGACTCATTAGCTACACACAAAGATGGATTCTCAAAGGTTGCTAAGATAAATTTTCCTCCAAACTGGTGATGTGAGAACGTATCTAACGACTCATAAGCTACCACACAAAGATGGATACTCAAAGGTTGCCAAGTTAAATTTTCCCCTAACAGACTCTTCAGCCTGGTTGGTGGGTGGAGGTGACTTAGCTGACGTCACAACCAGTTAACAGGGTGATTGGAGTGTTGACACAGCAGTAATGAGGACAGTGTTGTGGTGTGTGTGGCTGAAGCCCTTGGCGACTAGGTATACCCCTGGTACCCTGCTGACACTAGGTATACCCTGGTACCCTGCTGACACTAGGTATACTTGGTACCCTGCTGACACTAGGTATACCCCGGTACCCTACTGACACTAGGTATACCCTGGTACCCTGCTGACACTAGGTACCCAGTACCCTGCTGACACTAGGTATGCCCGGTACCCTGCTGACACTAGGTATACCCTGGTACCCTGCTGACACTAGGTATACCCTGGTACCCTGCTGACACTAGGTATACCCTGGTACCCTGCTGACACTAGGTATACCCTGGTACCCTGCTGACACTAGGTATACCCTGGTACCCTGCTGACACTAGGTATACCCTGGTACCCTGCTGACACTAGGTATACCCTGGTACCCTGCTGACACTAGGTATACCCTGGTACCCTGCTGTCACTATATATACCCTGGTACCCTGCTGACACTAGGTATACCCTGGTACCCTGCTGACACTAGGTATACCCTGGTACCCTGCTGACACTAGGTATGCCCTGGTACCCTGCTGACACTAGGTATACCCTGGTACCTGCTGACACTAGGTATACCCTGGTACCCTGCTGTCCTATATATACCCTGGTACCCTGCTGACACTCGGTATACCCTGGTACCCTGCTGTGAGTGAGATAAAATATCAGGACTTGTGTGTGTGTGTGTGTGTGTGTGTGTGTGTGTGTGTGTGTGTGTGTCTGTAGGAAAAATGGCTCTTGAGATGTATAACACTAAAATTAAAAAACCTTCAAAGCAAGAACTCCTACAAGGACTCACCAGACAGCGGCAACAACCATACAAAAAGTTACCAAACCTCAAGGCGTCATCACCACCCCGATATACACGGTCAGGCAATAGACAACCTCCTAGACCAGCATCGCCAGTAGGGTCGGCGGAGACATGAAACATGGCCTCGTAACACCTATATATGGGATAGTGTATTGTGTCTAGTGCCAGAGCCAAAGCGGAGGGTCAGTCAACCAGACAAACAGCTCTCAATAATGAGCCACAACAACTAGTTCAAGGCACAACATTACCAACACTATCAGCTGGAGTCAGTCAGTCAGTCAGTCAGCAGCAAGAAGGTCACCCTCACCAACTACCCTTCTACTAACACCTTCCTCTCACCTGTTAATCTTCCTTCACCCTCACCTCTCTACACAACCCTCCCATACAGGTCCCTCCACAACCAAGTCATCTGCGAAATATGCGCTGCAAAGAAAGTCTCACTACCCAACAAGTTACACCTGAGCAGACTAACATCAGTCAGTGGTACGGTAAGCTTAAAACTCTGTGGATTAAACAATAAGACACAGAGTTCTTTAACTGTTGAAAAGAACT